CTTAATTTATGGAAATCCCAAACCCAATCTTCCATGCATTAACTTTAAAGTCATTATGGAAAAAAAGGCTGCATATTTGCTCTATTGTGAGGATACAGAAATGCATTACTTTAAAAAAAGTTTGCTATGTCAATGAAATTGCAGATGCTTCTGTGCACTTCAGGGACTTCAAACATTGCATCAATTATCTGAATAAGTAATGAAAAGACATTGTGAATAAAATGGTTCACCAAGCCTGGTTCACAAGTCAATTGCTTTTTGAATCCAGTAATATAGTGTTATACTTGACATGTTATTCCTTTTTGTGAGAGGTTAAGAGTTTTCCATGCTTCTATGCTATACTAACTGCAGTTTGGGGAGAAAATCAAACTGACAAAACAGAGAAGGCTGCAAGAAGTACAACATACATTTAGATCCCCCCACTATAAGCCTCTTTCCACACCAAAAAACACACTGAAAACAGAACTCTGAACTCCAACCAAAGGGGAAACATGAAAATCTCACCACCAGCTCAGGCTACTGATAAGCAATTTAATGCTTTAAATGACAAACTGGACTGGGTCACAGTAGAACACGAAATGCCTTTTTGTTGAGCTCTCGTTTCCAAAGACTTACTGGCACCTGGAAACAGAGCAAGCATAAGGCTGATTATCATTCCCATAACCCCCAAGGAAAACTATCATGCAAGATGTTTGAGTAAGAGCAATGCTGTTTGAAGGCATCATTCATGAACAGAACAAAGGCTAAACAAAAGGCTGAACAAGTACATCATAATTAACAACTACAACCAAACTTTCAATTAAGATATGTACGAAAAATCAAGGAGAGCTAATTAAAATCCACCAGCGTATATACTTTCTTAGAAAAATCTGAACTGCTACTGTGAAGTAAACAGGCTAATTGGAAGTGACCACAATTACTTTGTCACTGTTACTGAGTTTAGTCATGATTTTTTAGCTTGCTCTTTAATTCTCCATCTTGTTCGCATCCCTTTGCTGTTCAAACACAGGATCCTTCCACCCAAATTCCTCAAGAACTGAGAAAAAGTGAAGAAAATACCAGAGAGATTTGACTTTCTATGCCAGGCATATTTTGTCAATAGTTTTGAGACACTCTTTTCTGCTCAGGACAGTACTATTCTTACAGGGCCAGGATTATAATTATTATACATTCCCTCCATTCATTCTCAACATATCCACAGCTACCACAAATGGATCCTAACACACTGCTATATCAATAATGCTATACTCTACATGTCTTTCTTTTATCCAGGCAGCTAGACCAGTATAAAAATATGATGCTATTTCACACAGATTTTGCTGTTAGGTATGAACTTCCCTTAAGGCCAAAACGCAGTTACAGATAATGGGAACCTAACCGGCAATATTAAAGGTTTTACTTCTTTTCCCTTATACACTACCTTTCCATGAAAATACATCCATTCTCATTACTTTTGCCATTCTTCAAGACTATTACCAGCCTGATTTGAACAGTAACAGTTAGTTAACGCTGATAGAAACAAGCAAAGAAAAATGCTGACACAACCCAGAGTTATTTAAGAACTTATTTGCTCCACATCTATTTCTAGAAAATTAATAAAAGAGTTGCTGACTCCTAGCTGTAAGAACCCCAGGTACAGCCAGGCTAAATAAAAATGGGTACAGAAAGGAATTCCTACCCACAATCCCAGACAATGAACAGCAAAATGATTTACAATTAACAACTCCTGCCTCTCCCCAACAGTGTTGGCATGAAACCCAACATCCTCTTGAGATACAAGTCAACTTGTTTCTGCTTAGCAGAACCTTAGCAGGAAACATCTTTCTGCAGCTATGTGGAACCAAAACTCTACTTTTTGAATGTGCTCTCACATTTAATACACATTAACAGGCTTTACGAAGAATTCTCTTCTGTTATATCACTACACATTAGCCCATCCTAACCCTTTAACCACCCAGGGAGAGTTTGCTGCCTGCAGCAATGTTTTTTCCATGCCCATTTTCAACGTTAGAGGCTGTATGGCCACCACTGGATTGCTGTCCTGACTAAGCTTTCAGAGTATTATAGCTGCAGGGTGTCACCTTTTTCCCCTCCACATAAACCAGGATATCCTGAATCCATGAAGCAGTCTTAACTAATGCCATAGCAAACGCCTATTGCTCAGAAGTCATTAAAACTTCTAAATTTGAGGCATTTCTTTGTACTGAGACAAAAATATAAGAAGTCCTTCCTGTGGATGGTTAAGTAAAGTCATCTCTGTTTCAAAACCCCCAAAAGCATGCATATCTGTTCCATATATATCCCACTAGCAGTACTGAACTGCAACGATGCAGGAATGTCCATTCCCTCTGACCATTCCCAAGTTTCTCTACAGCCAAAGCTAGTCAAGCACTTACTCCCTAGCCTACATTTTTCTACTCAGTAGGTGAAGTAAAAGGCTTCTTTCTGTGCAAAGGCTTCTTCCTCTGTACAGCAGTAAGCCTCACATCGTAACTGATTATTTTTTTAAGTGTCATTTAAATTAGTTTGGTATGATTTATCTTCCCTTTTTCCTAAAACATCACCGAATATTAACAATAAAGTAAATGCAGTAATATTCTAACATCCTCAAACATTACCCAATTAAAAAACCTAATTTACTTTTCACCATTTAGTCTTCCTTACTATTTTATATGTCACTCGGTGTGGATAGTAAAATTAGACTATGAATTTCATTTCTGCTCATGTTGCAGGTTCTGCTCCTCACAACCACTAGAACAGGGCTCTTGTTTAAGGCTTCCAGTATCATTCAGGAGCTTTTAAACTAAAAAGAAAGAGGGACCTGCTTTATATTTATAAATATACATTTATACATATATAGAAAATCTCAACTGCTCTCCCTGGCCCTCTTTACAAGCAGCAGCCAAGTGTTGGCACAAAACAAAACCTCGAATGTACCTGTTAAATAGTATTATGTGACCTTCTATTAACACAAGACAATAGAAGCTTTAAACGGTGCTGAGGGTGCCATTGTGCACAACGACCTTCCAAAGAAGCCAGTGGGAGACCTGCTTAAGAACCGATAAACAAATGCAACAAGTAATGCAGTATGAATTACCCTGCCCTTGCTTTGGCAACATTTGGAGATGATTTATCATCAGAGGCAGCTCTACTTCCAAGTCTGCACAGCCATCACACTTAAGAAGCACCTGAAGAGAGTATTTAGAGAAATATATTCTTCCAACACACGTTTTCATTCACAACACATATTTTAGCAATATATATATTTAATGCTACCTAGAATAAGAAGCAAACAGACATTTCAACTACATCAAAGCTACCTTTTTAATATCTTCGAATATTTAATACCATCAGTCCACTGCAGGAAAATAAAATGCTATTGGCACCAAACCAGTGCTACCTTCCATAATAAATATTATGCAATTAAAACTATACTCTCATAGGTATATAATTAAAACCATCACAACTGCACTAATCACAGTAAACTAGAATGAGCCTCAAACTCTTCAACTCTGCCATGTACACTCCTACTGCAATAGAAACCATCGGCACACCCACTACACCGGGCAATTTAACCTTTTCTGTCTCGTTCACACCCAGTTGATGCCACCAAGGCTCTGAACTCACCCGGCCATTAAGGGCCGTCAGGGCAAAGTCAGACCCCCCCCTCTCCCGAGTTCTGCCTGCACTCCACAGCGGCCGCGGATGCTACTGAAGCCGCAGCACCCCGGTGGCTGTTATCTTCCTTCCAAAAACGCTAGTCTAGGGAATACCATAATACGGGGGGGGGGGGGGGGGGTGAGTGAGGGGTAGAGGAAGCAAAAGGCTCCGGCTCCCGACCTTCTCAACAGCGCTCCCAGAATATCCCGTTCTTCCCACCCGCTCCCCCCACACTCCCTTTCCGCAGATGCCGGTGCAGAGGGGACCCCGCTCTTCCGTGCACCCCTCCAGGCCCGGTAGAACCGGAGAAGGCGGCAGAGGAGGAGAAGAAAGAAGCGAAGGAGGAAGGTGTTTTCTCACCGCGGCTTGGACGCGCATCTTCCGCGGCGGTACCAAGCACAAGACGCGCGGCCGGGCAGCGCGCGAAGGCAGCACGTGGCGGCGGCGGCCACGGGGTCTCCCGCGCAGCCGGGCGGGGCAAGGCGCGGCGCAGCTCTACGGAGCGGCGTGAGGCGGCGCCGCCATCTTGGCAGCGGCAGCGCCCGGGTGGAAGAGGGGGGAAGGGTGACCGGGAAATGGCTTTTTAGTTTCAAACGGGCGCGTTGAGCAACGGGGAGAGGACGGGTTGTAGGGCAGTTAGGGAGGGTGAGGAGAGAGGGGTATCCGTGTGCGGGACGGTGAGCTCCGCGGAGGGGTGACCTCCGTGGATGGGTGCGTGAAGGGAAGGACCGGAGCCGGGGTAACGTACCCAGCGGGTGTGTGCAGCTCCGCTCCCTCCCGGGGCCGCGACGCATCCAGGTGCCTCAGGGTTTGGAAGTGAAAATAAGGTGCAGCAGGCAGGAGGGGGTTGGTTCTGATCTCGTGCTCGGAGATGCTTTCCCCCCCCACCTCCAGCTCCTGACCGGGTCCGCGAACCTCGCCGGTAAAGATGTACGAAGAAGAATTCTGAGTAGGTTAAAAAGCCTCTTTTTCAATCAATGCTCAGGGAAAGGATAAGATGATGTGACACAAATGTATGATCGTGTGCCACAAATAGAACATTGTGGGAAGCTTTCCCTTAAACATATGCTTTGTCCTATATTTTTTCAAACAGTTTATTTCCTTGCTGTGTAGGTCATTCTTAACATTAGGCTAAATTTAGCTGAAGATACACCAGCAGCAAAGACAGCCTGTCTCAGAAGGCTGAATTAGACCCACAGCTTCAACAGCATGGCCTGGTCAGGAGCCTGGATGTGAAATTACTTACATTTTTATCTTTTTCTTTTTTTATTTATTTTCCAAGGAATTAAAAGTAACAAAATCTCAGGTATTTAAGAAAAAAAATGGTTTCTAGCAAATTAAAAGTTTACAGGGTAGTTTGCCTGGTATTTTCTCATGCTGCAGCCCATGTATACAGCTTGCATTCATTTCAAGGGTATTTTTACCACAAAGTGAGGGAAGACTACAGCCCTAACATCTTTAGGTCTTTTGAAGATCTGTACCTGCAGCTTCAAAACAGTGGTCTAATCTCTGCTTCCAGTAAGGACAGCAGAATTTGTGCTTGTTTATGCACTTTGATTTTCAGTTCTTTGTGTATAATTTTAGCTGTGGGTGGAGTATCCTGAGCCAGATTTCTCCCTATGTGCTATACATACAGAATGACAGAAAGACATACACGATTCTGCACTAGATTGACAGTGAATTACATTTGCTAGCAAATACTGGATCAGAGCCATCTGTTTCAGAAATTAGCATAGCAGGGATTTGTTTGTTTGGCTTCATCTGTCTATTAGTTTGGTCAAAATCCTCTTGTTTTAGAGACACACTGTCACAGAGAGGACCTGTGATATACTTTGTGCAGGCAGCCCCTGAAATACATAAATTACACTGAAAAGTGGAGATAAAATGTGATTGTCAGAAATCCAGACAAGGCCAAATTCAGGTGTTACTTCTTTTTTTTCTTGAATGCAAGTTTGATGTCCTCAGTGCACCCTGTGTTAAAGATCATCTACCCCGAAACAGCGTGCTGATAGAGAACTACTTCTCGCTATACCGAAGTAGTGTTGCTGAACTTGTAGGTGCACTGTACCTGTGTGTTTTGAGAGAATTGCAGAAATCCCTCCTGATTTACAGCCTCTACAGCTTTCCTTTGAAGAGGTATTGATATTTCTAAAAATTGAGAAGTCTAGCTCCAAACAACAGTGAAGAAAAGGGCATCAAGCCATTAAATGATAAGGTATCATCCCATTAGGCAACGGCTTTTCTAAAAGCAGTTCACTTTGAAGCTCTGTAGACCTAAAGAAAATGACATCTCTTACACAGTTTTACTTGCAGTATACTGAGTCTGCGCTATGCAATATTTCAGTTACTTGGCTACACTTTTTAGGTGGGGGGGATAAAAAAAATCAACTTAATACTCCAAATGTATATAGCATTTTATAGTTCCTAGTGGATCTGGTTACCATCAAGTATTTCACCATGGGTACAGCAAAAGGTCATTAGTTGTTCCACAACTAATGATGATTATGTGGCATGCTATTTTGAAAAGAGAATTCTACGTAGATCCTCCCAAGTACCAAGAAAAGTGGATGTTTCTTACAGCTTGTCATGGTTTAAGCTCAGCTGCTAAGACTGAGAAAAATGACTGCTACTGCTGAACCCAGGACACAGCTGAATACTGTTAATGCATGATTCATACATGTACTACACAAAGTAAAATACTTAGTTCATTTTGATGTTACTTCATACCTTATTACATGACAAAACCAAACACAAGAGTGCCTTCTAAAATAAGAACTTACGTTTCTCCGTCAGAAAAATGAGCCGAGTGTTGTATGCAATGAGAATGATGTGACGCCTCAATTCAAAGGAAGTGAGCGCTCATCCTACATGTGAACCATAAAAGCACCTGTGTTGCTTTGTCTGTGCATCTGTCTCCACCTGAGCACCTAATTCATGTTACTCCTCCCACAGCCCGCCCTGTTTCTTTGTCTAACCTGAGCAGCCAACAACAGGATCTACAGAAGTTTAGAAATCTGGACTGAATGGAGGGGGCGTGATTTCCTAATGAGACCTGGTGTACCTCAGTCACTGTAAGAATCATAACACCTAAGGCACAGTTTTGCTTGGTTTACTTGATGATGAAACAGCGGGAGTAGCTAAAGTCAGATGGTGACAAAATTGGAGAGCTCCACGGTGCTGTTAGAGTACAATGGGGAGATCTCCAGAATACAGCATTCTGAATCAATATATTGTTAATGTACACCGCCATTTTTAGAATAAATAGCAAATGTTGTCAGAAGATTTATTTTAAGCAATAGAAAGAGTGTAAGTGCTTTTTCAAGGTAAGTATAGAAAGCCATTACGAAGCTTATCTTTGCAACTGACCTGTAAAAGCTATAAACACATCAAAGGCTCTGAGGACATCAGATACCAACTTTTAATTCCTCACACCGTCGAAACTCCTGCGAAGCCACTATCCCAGGATCACCGCTCTGAGTGTGCTCAGTAATACTAATGGAACCCACACAGCTTCATTCCAAATTTTAGTTTACTTCATGTTACAATTTATTAAGTAGTAATTTTCTATAGTTTTTTTCCCCCCCTTAATTGATCAATGTAAGGCAACATTGGTTTTCTTTATTAGGATTTCTTGGAAGTTTCATTATTGCAGAATAAAAAAACCTTTTTAAAATGTAACTGAAATGCTTCTGCCTCAATACAGCAGCTTTTTGTTCACAGCTGTGTGTACAGTTGGCAGGTTAAGGGGTTATACTTGTATCTCAAATAAAGAGGGACAAAATTTCTTCCAGGTAAAGCTTCCAGACCTCTGTAGCAATCTGATTCTAGAACCAAACAATTTTTCTAGTCCTACTGTCCAGCTGTAACCATAATGCCTTTAGTCATAGCACTATTAATTTTAACATGGCTTTTTGATTTTTTCAAAGATCTATGCAGAGATGTGCTTTATTTTAAATACTTGACAAGTCATCCAGATATCCTGAACTACTGAATACAGAGGGAATGAAAGTGCCAGTGGATCCCCTGTATGATTTAGCCTTAAGGCTCCTGCAGGTTTTATTCAGATTCAGAATAGTAGGAGTGGGGAGGAGGAGATAAATAAAACATTTGTTTCAGAAAGTAGGTGACTTTGACAGAGCACTGATTTAAACTGTGAAGACTCACAGATCAGAAGAATACTGTTCAGAAGTGAGGCTGGAGAACAGCCCCCCAAGTGGCTCTTGCCAACAAATTTCTGCTTTTCTTTTAACTATTATTGCACCTTCTCTGAAGTTCTGAGCATAATTGAGTCAGTGACTCCCACTGCTGCATCACAGTCACTCAAACATGTTTTTACACCGCTCGTTGAATATGTCAGTAAAGGTCTAATCTCATTTGGATTTATTACGATTTATCTTGGATTAAGCGTTTATCTGCTAAGGATTATGACCTGTATACTATGAGGTACTGATGAAACGTTGGAGTTCAGGAATGTCTAAGCACATTGGAATGAATCAGCAATATTCTTTTTTGACACAGACTTCACACATTATCTTTTTTTCTATCAACTTTGCAATGTTCATACAGATTAAGCATCTAATTTTCATTTAATACAGGCAGTAACCTGGAAAGCTCTTAGCATCCAGTAGGAGCAAAGCTGCATTTAATTAGGAGCAGCTTAAAAGATCAGGCCTCAGAGCCACATGACTTTATATTCACTCTGCTTGCCACAGTCAGTATAACATTATTGATCTTTTATGTACCAATTTGAGTATCTTTTTTTTCTTTTTGAAATATATTTTGGTGAGTCTTCCACTGCTGCCTCAACTTTCTACTTTTTCTGATTTGCACAGAAAGGAGTAGAAAAAGAATAAAGTACAAGGACTGCTTGTTTATTACCTTTCTGGACTTTTAAGATATTTTCCTTGTTGTAGGTTTAAACTGTTTCCTCTATTTGTATACACACACAGTACTGCACCTCAGAGTATTGGATTTCTCATGTGATTTAAACGAAGTCGGGTTTTGGCTTTAGTTTGTGGCAAAGCCACCAATGCATGCTGTTGTTGCCCCCAAATAGGCTCCTAGCTGTTTTAATGCTTAACAGTTTTGTGTATTTGTCTTATCTTAGAAATGCCATTTTATATCACTTTAATTGCACAAAAAGCTAAAGAATTCCAGTGGCCACTTTAATTTTGTATGTTTGTAAGTTTTCCTTACAGCTTAATGATACAACACAAGGTTTAAACCCTTCAGGGTAGTCTTTCATAATGTTGGAAATAAGACCTCAGATATGAAACTGCATATTTTAAGGTGTTTACACGCTCTTACAAAAGGAATTGGGAAGAACATATATGATTCATTTCCAGTATTTGCTAAATACCATCACATTTAGAATGTGTAATCATTTACTGTTACTGAACAGTAGTACTGTTCCTGAACAGTAGTACTGTTCATTTTTAAGGTCCCTTCCAACCCAAACTGTTCTATGATTCCATGGTTCTGTGATTTTGAGTATTGTCTGCAATGTTTTGCTTGCTAACCAGGGAGTTAACAGTGTGAATTTAACTGTAAAGAGATTAAACCTAAGGTTGGAAGACGTTCTAGTTTCAGTATGTCTTCCTTCATAGAATCATAGAATAGTTAGGGTTGTAAAGGACCTTAAGATCATCTAGTTCCAACCCCCCTGCCATAGGCAGGGACATCTCACACTAAACTATCTCACCCAAGGCTTTGTCCAACCTGGCCTTAACTGGAGTAATTCAGTTTTGGGTTTCATGAGAGCAGTTAAGAATTCATGTTTGTTCACAGTGTTGGCATATAGCCAACCGTATCCTGGGCTGCATCAAAAGGAGTGTGACCAGCAGATCGAAGGAGGTGATCTTGCCCCTTTATTCTGCTCTCGTGAGACCTCACCTGGAGCATTGTGTGCAGTTCTGGTGTCCTCAACATAAAAAGGACATGGAACTGTTGGAACAAGTCCAGAGGAGGGCCACGAGAATGATCAGGGGACTGGAGCACCTCCCATATGAAGACAGGCTGAAAAAGTTGGGGCTGTTCAGCCTGGAGAAGAGAAAGTTGTTAGGGTCACGTTAGGGTGGTGAGGCACTGGAATAGGTTGCCCAGGGAGGTTGTGAGTGCTCCATCCCTGGCAGTGTTAAAGGCCAGGTTGGACGAGGCCTTGGGTGAGATGATTTAGTGTGAGGTGTCCCTGCCCATGGCAGGGGGGTTGGAACTTGATGATCTTTCCAACCCTAACTATTCCATGATTCTATGATTCTATGCTGTGTTACTGATGTGCAGCACAGGTTCTTACCCAGTTTAATGTTCAGGAATTGTGGACTTACAGACACAGCAATGCATGTTAATCCACAGCTCGTACTTCAATTACACAAGGCAAAGATTCAGCTGATGAAAAATCAGATGAAACAGAAGACTGAGAAATGGATGAGCATAGAAAAGAATTGATCTACCACAATGAAAATAAGCTGTAAAGAGACATAATCAAAGATAAAATTGTTTTTCAGTATCTCTTCTGTAAAATATCAAATAGAAAACCATCTGGATCCAGAAGAGAAAGGTTCCATGGTACAACAAAATTCTTATCCACTTTCACATGAGTACGTGTGCAAGGAGGGAAAAATAGTGAGTAAAAGGTATTTTCTGGATGCATTAACCTTGGAGTGGAATTTAGGATAAGCACAGACAGAATATTGAGCTTAAACCTGCTTATGAGATAAAAGATGAGGAGGACATGTTAATTTACTTTCTTTTGACATCAGCCCATAACTACACATGTAAAGTGGCAACCCTAAGGATGGGATGGATGGGAACTTTGAAAAGACTCTTACATGCACTTGGAATCATAGAATCATTCAGTTGGAAGGGACCTTGAGAGGCTTTCTAGTGCAAGCTCCTGTTCAGGTTAGGGTCAGCATTGGTTTGAAAACACATCTGGTTGTTCAGGCCTTGCTGCAATGAAATTTTGAAAACCTGACAGAACAGAGACTCCCCAGCCTCGCTGGGCAACCTGTTCCAGTCTTAAGTAGCCTTTTATTTAATTACTTTCCCTTACATCCAGTTGCACCTTTGTAGTGAGCCTAGCTCCATCTTTTTGGTCACCTTATGTCTGGGCTGGTTGGTTTTAGGTGTTTTGGAACTTGGCTCTTCTCCAGTAAGTGAGTAAGAATAAGTAAGCCCTTGTCTCACAGGCTTTCCTCAAAGAGCAAGTGCTCCAGCCCTCTAATCATCTCAGTGTTTTGTCTGCTTAATGCTCTTAAGTTTATCAGAAACTTTCATATACAGAGTCCCCCGTAATATTCCAGATACAAAACCAGCCTGAATAATACAGAGGGAAAGGGAATAATTAAATCTCTCTCGACCTACTGTTGATGCACCTGTTGGCAGAGCACAATATGCTGTTAGACTTCATTGCTGCTGGTGTGCACTGCTGACTTGTGTGTAGTCTACAACATCACCAGGATGCTTCTGTCCTGTGCAGAGCTGCTTCTCAGCCATACAGTCCGATCCCATACCACTGTAGAGGGCTAGCCTGTCCCAGGTACAGGACTTTTCACACATCCTTGTTGAGTTTCCTGAGGTTCCTGTCAGTCCGTTCCTCCAGCCTGTATACTTCTCCCTGAATGACAATTCTCATCTTCAGAGTGCTGATGGCATCTCCTAGTTCAGTGCCTTCTGAAAGCCTGACCAAGTCGTGCTCTGTGTTCTCCTCCAGGCCACTGATAACAGTGTTGTAGGTAGAAAGGTAAACTCCCAAGGACCACCACTTGTAACTAGCTGTTGAATGAAATATGAATCATTAGCCCATTGTGCCCATAAAGCTGGATCTTCACCCATCTAGCAGTAACCCCACCCATCCACACAGTAATGTCCCAGCTTGGATACAAGTGTGCTAGGGGAGAGCATGCTGAAAGCCCCCTCTGAAGTCAAGGTGGACAACACTGACTGCTCTTCCTTTGTCTGCACATCTTGCCATTTCATCACTGAAGGTAATTAGGCTTGGTCAAGCATGGCAAACTTGGGAAATCCATGCTGGACACTGTTTCTTACCACCTTCTTTTCCTTATTGCTCAGAAATGGCTGCTGCACTCGCACCATTATTATTCCAGAGAGCAAGCAGGCACTGACTGGCCTGTAGTTCCCTGGATCATCCTTCTTGCCTTTCTTAGCATTATGGGCTTTTGGGCAGTTTTAAGCATGAAATCAAGTCTTTCACTTCTCAGTTAAGAGATTTGACATAGTCCATAGTTACAGATTCCGTATAAACTGGGACTAAAAAGTCTATAAACAGTTATTGATCTCCACATGCTACTGGGGAAATTTTCCAAGATCAGTGACAGCTTGGAAATCACTGGCATTTTAAAATTATAGATCATGGCTCCACGTTTTTGGCATTTACAAGATTGCATTATGGCAATGCTGGATGTGTGTGTAAAAAAAACAAAATGCTTTTAGCATTTCAGGTTTTTTTTGTTGGAGCAGTATTAAAGATGGAAATTTCTTGATACAATTCAAAATAATGGTTTTGTTTATTAAAGATGTATACCCATTAAGATGAAGTTAGGATGAGAAAAATGCTTGTTTGTGTGAAAATAATATTTGCTTCCTCAACAACAGCATCTCCTGAGGTTTTTTTGATTCATACCTGATTACTTTAATAACTAAACCAAGTTTTAACTCCTGTTAACACTGCAGAATGCAGACAGTTACAGTATTTTGCACTCCTAAGTCATTGTCAACACAACTCTTAGTTATTTTTTTTATTCTGGAATCATTTACAATGGAAAGGATTGGTTTCAATTCATTGTTTTGTGTAGAGATTGCTAAAGCTGCTGGTCACCCACTGAATTTTCATTGCAGTTTGTGAGGAGCTGAGCGCCTGCCTATGAAAGGGCACAGGAAGTGAAAGGAGAAGCTGTGTTTATAATGTATTAGTTAGCACACAACAAAATCACCTTTGCTGGAGAAGGCAAAATGTTTGGAAATCCCAAGCTTGTTGTATGCTGCCCAGGGCAGCAGGACCTCATACTGATAACGCAGTGATTCCTCCAACTGAGGAAAAATCTATCCTGATGCATTCTGAAGGCTCTTGCATATGTCTTGGCTGAGGAAATGATGTTTTCTATGTATTGGTCGAGGATGGAAAAGAAGGAGAAGTAGTGGGAGTGGTGCCTCAGGTGATCTTCAGAGAAAAGAATAATGCAAATATGAATTGGGGACGAGCTCCATATACTTCCAGGTCTAAAACTAATTAGCAGTCACAGAGTTCATCATTTACTGTGTCAGATTTCTGCACGGCAAAAATACACATTTTAAAATATTAAAAAATTGAGTAATAAAATTAGCTGGCTAATGATGTTTTAATGCAAAAAGTGTGTCATTCAAAATACTGCTATATCTGAATCTGGAAAGAAAAAACATAGCAAACAATAGGCTGATCTGAGCTAAGAACTTTGAATGCAGACTGAAATTTTTCAGTATACAACAGATTTAATTCCATTTCTGTGACAGCATCATTTCATCCACAGTCTCTCATGACATGAGATACGTAAAAGTAGGTATTCTGCCTTCTCGGTTTCCTTTAGGGAATGATTTGTGATTACTTATCTAGGATTAGGAGTACAGAGACTACTTCAAATGTCTCTTAAAATATGTGGTATTGCAAACAACGGATATAAAATGAGATTCACACACAGAGCTTTGCTGGTGGCCAAGAACTGCGTTGCAATATGCCGGAAATCCAAACATCCTCCTACTCCCAGAGCCTTGCTGACAGATCTACAACAACTTCTTTCTCTTGAAAAAGCTACATACAGAATCAGAATAAGAAACACAAAAGCCTACTTACTCTGAGAAGCTAATGTAATCTATAAAATGAAAGGTTAAGGATTCCTCATCAATAGGAAAATAACATTTCTCTTTGAAAATTTTACAGTTTCAAGTATCATCTACATTACCTAAAATCCCCCCCCCCCCAAAACACAGAGAGAAAATCTTGTCATCCTTGCAAAAGCACCAACAGCAACCCCTTCGGATTAGTGTTGTTCTTTCCTTGCCTAGCCTTTCAGACCTACAACCTAAGTACGGGGGTGTGCGTTAATGGAACTGGATACAGAAATAGAACCTTGGTTCAGCAGATCCTCCTTTGTTGAAAAACCAATTAAAAAAGCAAACACAAGGGAATAGGAAAACAAGTAACTTTTACAGGGATGTATTTTTTAAACAGCATACTTTGCAAGAAGTGCAGTATTAGATGCTACATATTTTAATTAGCTGTTTAGAAAATCAGGTTGACACTGTCCTTTAATTAGTAAGCATTGACTTATTCTGTGTGTATTATGGCACAGTGAATCTTATTAAGATAAATGTTTCTCTCTGAAGATATGGGGGGAAAAAAAATCCACTATCATTTGTTTGCTGACCAGATTGCTCCCCATCAATATGGCTGCTATTTAAAATGATGAATTTTAGTCACATATTTAATTAGCTAATGGCTGATCTCACTGTAGGGTCTTGATCCTCCTTACATGTGTTCTTTCATCCTGAAAAAGTCTTTGGTTCTATCTTGGTTTTGAAGTTCCTGTTTGAAATTGTCCTTGCTGCTTTCCAATCTAAAAGGCAGTAAATTAAATTATTTAAAGTAAAAATTATTGTGAAAATATATAAGGTTTTGAGCATAGTTTTTACATTATAATACATTGCTAGAGGCTAGGAATTTAAAAAACATGTAAAGTTTTGGAAGTCAGTTTTTTCACTAGCTGCAGATACTTGGTTTGTGAGAAAATTTTGTGCACTTTAAAAGGCCATTGAGTAGCTTAAGATTTCAGTGTGTTTGTGTATTGCTGCTCAGCACGCAGCCGTCTCAGGTTGCTTGATGCCTTAGTAGGGAAGTACAGCAAATTCACTGCAGCCAGTTCTGTGTCAAGATAGCTATTTAAGAAAAGGATGAAAGGCTCTTGTGGATATCATTGGTTTGGAAGAAGACTTCTCTGTTGTAGTTGCTCATAGTATGTGGCAAAGTGCTTCTCAAACCCCACGGTGCATAGAGCAGCATTCAGGGGAAAATAACCCTCTCTTCACAAAGGAGGGAGTATCTGCCTGGCCTCTGAAACTTCATTTCCTTCCAGTTTGCAGAGGTACATAATTCCACCAGTGCAAAGAAGATAAGCAAGAAGAGAGTGAATACAGCAGAATTTTCTTTGTTACAGAGACTGCATTTGAAGGGATTGTAACAGCAGGTACGGTGCTGCCAAGTAGAAACAACCCTGGATGTGCTGTAGAAGGTGGAGGCTTTCCTAAGAGTAACCTGGAGGAATCTGGAAGGGTCAGGTGAACCCAGGGTGTCACCCATTGCAGAAGCTCTGAGGAAACTGCAAGATGGATTTGTCACTCAATTTGTAGCTACATGGACGTGTGTATACCTGCCATTTAAGTTGCATTAGTTCAACTAATATATATATATATATATATATATATATCCCTATTACTTGTGAGCTTTTTTAAAAGTACATTTTGAAATAATACATGGTCAGTGATGCAAGTTCCTTGGAAACTGCTACAGGGGAGATGGCTCAAAAATGGACTTTGCTCTGTGAAATCAAAAGCCATCGGGGTACCTACAGCTTATCAGTGATGGGCTAGTAATGTACCATTGAATAGGGTGGACTATCCATCAGGCTTGTTTTGCCACTTTCAATTTCCTAACAAACACCGAACAGTAATCAAGTTTCAGATTCTATTGAGAACTGGCTATGTTACTTAAAGAACAAGTCTTCTGTGACCTCTGGAGCATGTTATTACTAAAAGAAGGGCATAATTGACTTTTTGGATACACAATTATTTGTTCTTGCTGCTGTTGTCCCATAACAGCATGGATTATAAACCTTATATCCTAGTCATGCAGGCAAAACTCTTGTGTTACCTTAGCCCTGCTGTTTAATTAGCTTTTACAATTGGACATTGTTTATATCCCAATAAATGTTGCCTGAGTAAAGACTTCCCCTTAACCAATTATACCAGATGTTTTTCTGTGAAGGTCCTAATTAAATAGCATCTATTCTTGTGTTTGTTTTAAACCCTGCCTGTTGTGTAAATCTCTGGAAGAGCACACTGTTATACTGGGTTGCTTCACCATTATTTCCGTCATTCCCCGGTTCACTGGTTGGTTGTAGCATCTCCCTTTAAAAGTCGTTGTTTACTGTATGGGAGGGGGTCCTGAGAAGTGCACTTGAGACTTGGGAAACCAAATCAGTTCTTGCCCTGCAGTGGCCTTCTGAAGTGATTCAAGATAATGACCCTGTCAGGATGGTGTAACTTAAGGTGACATTGGATTACCAATGTCATGTCCAATCCTGCCATATTCAGTGCAGAATCAGCATAAAATACCAGGTTGGAAAGAAGTCTCCCCACCCATGACGTCTCTTGCTCCTACTTTTTCACATGGCATTGAAATACTCCATTTGGAAATTCATGGACTCAGGATGGTGGCTGCTGGACCAGAGAAAGGAGGCTGATTCCATATTCAGAGTATACACAAAAGTGATGGCAATTTAGGAATCAGCTCTTGGAAATAGCACGTGAAATATAAAAGCTCTTAAAATCTTACCTGGCAGAAAGTAATATCCCATTATACAGGAGGAGTGAGATTCAGGTATAGAATCACAGAATAGTTTGAGTTGGAAGGGACCTTAAAGCTCGTCCAGTTCTAACCCCCTGCTACGGGCAGAGACACCTTCCACTAGACCAGGTTGCTCCAAGCCCTGTCCAACCTGGCCTTGAACACTGCCAGGGACTGGGCAGCCACAGCTTCTCTGGGCAACCTGTGCCAGAGCCTTAGCACCCTCACAGTGAAGAACTTCCTAATGTCTGATCCTATATACACTCTGTTTCAGTTTAAAGCCATTTCCACAGGCCCTTGTAAAAAGTCACTCTCCAGGTTTTTTGCAGGCCCCCTTTATCTGTTAATATGTGAAAACTAAAAATGGTCTTTTTCTGCACTGCGATTTTATTGTGTATTAGTTGCCATGTGTTAGCTAACATAAGCCTATTACAGCCTAAAGTAAATTCCTGCAATTTCAGTTTACCTCCTCTCTCCCAGCTGCCACATACAGTGATTGTCTCTCAGTGATTTCCTGCTCCTTTTTCTGTGCCACTAGTACTTTTAGAAATTGTAACTAAAACCAAATAATGAATTTACAGTATGGCACTTGACATGGTTCCTAAATCCATTATGAACTCTCCTTCCTTCTAAAGAACTAAATTTCAGTTAGGGGTCAAATAATCGGCTCTGATTCTACCTCTCTCATCTTTCAATGTTCACAGGCTACATTAAAATAATTTTAAAGGAGTAGATGCTGAAAAGGATTGAAAGAGAAGAACTGTAGGGTTTATAGATTAAAATACAGGGCATAAAATGTGCCTGTATATATAAATAAAGGACAGAGTCTAGAAAATGTCCATAATCAGAAATATTAATAAAATTAATACTTATTTTTGGAGAAATACATGAAAATATAACACAAGCATGTATTTTAATTTCTTAAGTCTGGGGGTAGTAACCACTGCCACCATGTCTGTATCATTCAGACCCCTTGGAAACATCTGCATAGTACCAGAGCATATTTAGCTGCTAGACAATTAGAAACTGCCAGAAAGGGCTTCCACCCCTGAGGGCTTCCAGGGAGTTGCAGGCTTTAGAAGAGTTCTTTGTGTCCCTTCTACCTGCCTCTGACAGGCACAATATTCCGGCTTAGCATTATACTGCAGGTTTGAAGTTCCTCCACTGCCTTGCTCGTGTTCAAATTCTTCTTCACACACTCAAACCCCAGTAGAACTGACTTAGCCCTTCACCTTTCCCAGGTAAAGTGCACTTTTGTCATGCACATGTTGACATTTCTGACAGGAACTTTATGAAGGTTCTTTATTAAAATAACTTTAAAATACCTGGTTTGTAATAGCAGGGGTTTACTCCCATCCTTGGATAACATTTCTTCTTCCATTCTGCACCCAGGTGGCTGGCACTGACTTTTCTTTCCTTCCCTTCCGTAGTTAAATGCAGAGCCTAAGCACACACTGGCAACCGAACCCTCATCAAAGCTCTGCCCAACATAGAGGAATAACGAAAAAGGAAGGAAGTGTGTCTGAGCAAGCACTACACGCTGGCAGTCTCCTGCTTTTACCAGCTCAGAAATGGTGATGGAAGAGCAGGAAAGCAAAGCAGCCTTCCAAATCCCAAGTCACAAATCACTCACCTTCCATACTCAGTATGGGTGTAATGTACAGGTTGGGTTCCTTCAGGCTGACAGTGTCTCTGTGTAATTACACTACATTGATGCACATCTGTGAGGAGTAGTTGTTAGGAACAAACAGTTCCAAACAGCTATAAAATGTAAAATAAAATAATCATTTTTCAGGAGTGAAATGAGATGATGCTTCGCCTGCATGGGCACAAATTGATGCAAGTTTTGTGATCACGGTGTTTCAGGTTTCATATCAGTTACCTCAGCGTAACCTTTTGATCATTTCTGAAGTCCTGCACAGAATGAGGGGAGATACAGTTTGACCTTTCCAGACTTGCTGCATTTTAATGTTTCCTGTGCTTAGAAATAATACAGAAAAACCCCAAGAGGTAATATTATTTTTGTATAGAACCTCTGAAGTTATACCAGGCATGTTCAGAATACATTAAAGAGACTGTCCTCACACAAGAAATTTACTATCTGCTTTTAGATATTTCCTAACTAATGAGAGCAATAAGTGCTGGGAGGAGAGTGGATTGAGGTTACAAGGATAAGATTATAGCATTCCTCCACTATGTATGCATGTTGTGAAATTCATTTACTTTTGTTACCTCAGTCTGGGCTTTGGATTTTCATTTTGTCTCTTTTTTTCTTTACCTGATTTAACTTTCTGTCTGAATCCAGCAGATCTGGCTAAAAACCTGAACAGATTTTTTCTTTTTCCCTTTTGGTTTTTTTTTTTTTTTTTCCCTAAGTTTATATATTTTCATTCAAATTGTACCCACTCTGCTTGCACACCCAACATCAATGTGCTGTTTGTAGCAGAAACATTGTCATGACCTTGTTTCCGACAGTAATGTTGAAGTACCAATTGAACATATCCTTGAATGCCTGCACTGCTTTATTCTACACAGGGAAAGTGATACAAAACCCAAAGAAACTGTATGATTTCTACACAATTACACCTGGATTTTTACATCCTCACTTTGAAGAACCATACCATGCACCACACCGCATACACGGTGTGTGGAACACATGCAAACATTATGTTAATACTCAATCTTCTTGTTCTTATCCAGCCTCAACAGCTATTTAAGAACCATGTGTGAAAAATCAGTAACACACTTCACTGGCTTTTTTGCAATGTGCAGAAAGGGATGTTTTGGGGCTGGGCTTTTTGTTTTTTTTTTTTTTTCCATTTTTTTAACACTGAAAATCTCAGGATTGTAAAATTGGATTTTTATTGATCTCTGTGAAAGATCTGTGAGGTTTTGACAGCTATGTATTGACAGAAGTCACCTCTAGTTGAATCGAAAGTATTGAATGTCTAATGCAAATCACTGTATCTTCAACACGTTTCAATTATATTGATGTTTAAACAAAAAAAAAGAAAACCAAACCAAAGTGATCAGAAATCTTTTGTACTTTACTTTCAGTCTTTGCCCTGTGGTATTACATGTTCTCATGTTCTTTACTCACCACAGTCTTGGGGGCTGTAGACGAAAGATAAACAAAAAATTGAGTATCTAATGTTTCAGATATAAGCACAGACATAAAACATACTCAAGTCCTTACGGATTACAAATAAATAGAAAAATAGCTGAAACCTGTATTTAGAAAAATCATTTCCTTCTCAATATTTGTAATGGAGTCGTCAGTCACATTAATTTTTATGCAAATTTACCTGAGCTGATGAATCATCACTGAATTATTCCTGGTTTTGGCCAGCATTTGTGTTTCTATTGCCATTGCCTCAATTTATTTGTATTTGTTTAAAGGACGGATTTTAAGAGTCCGCTCCAGAACTCATAACTAACACAAAGAGAAGAGGGGCCCTGCTTCAAGTCCAGCATTGGAAGCAGATGCAAGAGACAGATCAGAGTAAGAGGACACTAGTCACCATGACAGACAGTACTCCTGGCACACAGCTGACTGTTCATTATCATTCCTTCAGTAGACATCACAGCACAGGAGATTTTTAGGGAGGGATTTGAAGAAAGAAAATTAGGTGAGTGGGAGTGAGAAGCAGCAGCAAGGGAAAGCATGAAGGTGCTGGTTTGAAAATGTAACAAGTAGCGAGTTATTACTGAATGAAATGTGTGGGGGGAAGACGTTGATTTCTCCATAGGATATTAAAAGATAACAGGGTGGGAATAAGCTGTAAAGAGCCACAAAAGTGAAGCAACTTTTGCTTGTGAAGATGCCAAAGATACACTGAGATAAGGAACATGGTTGAAACAATAAATGTGAAGCTAACCAGGACAGCAGTGTTTCCCAGTGGTGTTCTGTTATACCTTGTTGTATTGTGATGTCCAAGATTAGATTATTAGCTTTGGAAGGTCAGGGACCAGAGATGTCTTTGCACCAACAAGCACCCTGATATATTTCCAGGTGCTGTAAAAATGCATACACAAAAATGAGCAACTGCTTCTCTGAGTATCTGAAGGGGGCCTAAAAGGATGCCAGAGGGACTCTTCGTCAGGGACTGCAGCGACAGGACAAAGGGTAAAGGGTCCAAACTTAAACAGGGGAAGTTTAGATTGGATATAAGGAGGAAGTTCTTTACTGTGAGGGTGGTGAGGCACTGGAATGGGTTGCCCAGAGGGGTGGTAAATGCTCCATCCCTGGCAGTGTTCAAGGCCAGGCTGGATAGAGCCTTGGGTGACATGGTTTAGTGTGAGGTGTCCCTGCCCATGGCAAGGGACTTGGAACTGGATGATCTTAAGGTCCTTTCCAACCCTAACCATTCTGTGATTCTCCTGAATGCTATTACCCCCTTCTTCAGCCTTTATTCTTCAAGTTACACCATTCAGTTATCTATTTTCAAAAGAACTTTCTGTGTGAACTTTCCACTTCTCTCTGTCAAATTATCTTACTGTTTTTGGAAAGACTGCATATCATCTATATTTAACACCATTTCAGCTTGGTGAGGTGAATATAACGTAGCATTAAACTCAGACGAAAAAAAAAAAATGAGTGTGGCATTTCTAGGTTTTTCAAGTGTGAGTTAACTCAGAAGAGCTAATTTGGCTGGAAAAAGTGCCTTCCCCAGGCTGTCTTGGATCTCAGCAGACCTTCTTGCAGGTATCTAAGCTGAGGTAATATGAACGGCAGCTAGATGCCAAAGTCCTTTGAATTAGTATTTGTGGTTACCATAGAAGTGAGTCTGTCTCTCATGTGAATAAAGAGGTCATGTGAAGAACTGATATGGAAGGTTTCTCTCCAGGCACTTCATTCTTAGAAATTTACAGATGAAAAATGCTATATGAGTATTAATAGATAGGGATGAAATATGGATGAGGGGACACTAAAGCTGAAATAGCAAGTAGAACAAAGGGAATAAGGGGACATGGGAACATGATAAGAAACCAGACTAGAGCTGCAGTCTTGGACAGACCTGTCTGAGACCTAAAAAACAAAAAGAAAGTTTAGATAAAGGAATAAAGTGGTAAGCAGTATGAGAAATTATTTGAAAGAGGACTGGGATGGGACATGGGTATCAGGGAACCTAAAAGAACTGGGCTGTAGCAGGCTAAAGAATAACCAGATGTAAGAAGTGTCCGAGCTACTGGTACACATGTGGTCACCTTTTTATAGAGGAAGAGAAAGACAGACCTGCTAAAACACTAGACAAGAGGACAAGAAACAGCAAGGCGATGTTTCTGTGACAGATAGACAGGTAGGAGGTACTGTAGCACACATACATGGAGAGGTTCCAGGAGAGAATGTGGCTCTGTTAAGCCTGAATTGGTTCTGATGATGTCATCCAGAGGGACCTTGACATGCTTGTGAGGTGGGCTGATGCCAACCTCATGAAGTTTAACCATGCCAAGTGCAAGGTCCTACACCTGGGTCGGAGCAATCCCAGACAGTACAGGGGTAATGGGTTAAAACTTAAACAGGGGAAGTTTAGATTGGATATAAGGAGGAAATTCTTTCCTGTTAGGGTGGTGAGGCACTGGAATAGGTTGCCCAGGGAGGTTGTGAATGCTCCATCCCTGGCAGTGTCCAAGGCCAGGTGGGACAAGGCCTTGGGTAATGTGGTTTAGAGCAAGGTGTCCCTGCCCATGGCAGGCGGGTTGGAACTTGATGATCTTAAGGTCCTTTCCAACCCTAACTATTCTATGATTCTATGTTTCTTTATGGATGTGCAAGAATATTTAATATAAACAATCAGCCACAGGATCTGGACAGAAGAAGATCCAAGTACATGCAGCATCTTTTGAATAGGGATGTCCTGGGATCATTTGCCCAGCAACAGGGAAGAGCACAGGGCCTGGATGACTACAGTGAGAGAGGACTAGGGGGGGGAGTGGGGTGTGAAATTACTGTAGTTCACTGTCAGCAGAGAGACAAGTCAGCCTCTGTAGTATGCTGGTGACCACCTGTAGTTTATGAAGACTGCAGAGGAAAAAGTCTAAAAAGTATTTCCCAGAACTTGGATCTGGATGGCCCTTGCTAAGCAAAGAACAGTATCTGCACTCCAGTATTCTTCAGTGCAGGGGTGTATCTTCTAATCCATCACAAAGCCCTCTTGGTACACCAGTTTAGACATGATTCATCGGGTCACTGGCACAGGAATATGGCTAAAGTAATGTAAAATTAGCTTACAGAGTACTAAAATAAGATACAGAGAGTGAAGTAGGTGAAGGAAAGAGGCCTAAGTGCCACTGAGAAAGGAATCAGCAAAGGAAGAGAAACCACAAAAAGAGATGCTGCAGAAATAACCAGAGAACTGTGAACTGAAATAAGAAGGAACAAGGCCACAACAGCTAGGGAGAAAGGATCCTACAGAAAAATCTAAGCATGTAGAACCTGCAGGTATCATCCACGTGTCTTGTTAAGAGGAGCTGAACTGGAGCAAAAAAGGCACATACCAGACAAAGAGGTAACGTGATTGTAAAGAACAGAACTTTTGATGGAGAAAGACACAATTTTACCTGTCTTGATTTTTAAGCTTGGAGTGTTTCACTGACTAGTCATGGGTCCGTAGGATATGGTGACATGAATTTACTAGCTGTAAGGAAGCAAACATGGCTCTATGGTGTATAGAGCCATAAACTTAGTGCTGCCCATTTCCATTGCTTAGCACTGCACACTTACTCCCTGTTTCAGAGTTTTAACAGCTACCCAGTTTGGGGTGCATTCACCCCTCCATCTGCCCCTGTATGCAAATACACAGGATTGTAGGCCTTGATGCTTGCACTTGTAACACTGTGCTTGTCCCATGGCTGTCCTTGCTTCTGAGAGCTTGGAGTTTGTCTGCGTTAAGGATGTGCAATGCAGTTTCTCTCTCAGCCTTGCATTAGTGATCCCATGTGATCAGACCCAACCTGCTGGTCTCTTGGGAAACACACACATAATAATTAGCCCCTTTGCACCAAAGACTTCACTGCTGTATACAGCACATGGTGAGTGTCGCCCTGTGGGTTTGTGAACACACACACACTCTGAAACGCTCCCATCCCCAGAAAACATCACTGTAGTTGCCATATGGTCAGGCTCACCTGCTAGGTCTGTGAGGAGACAGGCAACACTCACACACATAATGAAGCTTCCCACTGAGCTGCCTTAAGAAATTAAACCCAAGGCACTTGACGTAACTGCCACATGATCACTCACCTGCTGAGTTTTGGGGCAGTCACACACACATGAGTTTGCCATCTCTGCCCAGCGGGTGCCTCTCCGTGCTCCACCTCACTGCACTATAGCGGGAAACCAGAGCCGGAGGGATGCACTCCCCTCCCCAGCGGAGTGACAGGGACCCCTCGCCCAAACAAGCCGTCAGGCCCTTCCTCACCCCCTCCGGGTCGCAGAGCTCTAATTGCGTCCTGAGCTGGGTGGAGAGCTCACAACGATGTGGACGATGGCGATTCCACAATGAGCCTCTCCTCGGAGCCCTGTGACTACCGCAAGGCCAGACCCGGCTCCCCGAGGGCAGGGAGCGAGGCCCAGGCGGGGGCTCAGGTACCGGCTATTGCCCGTCCTCCGGGCCGCTGTTACGGTAATTGCCGGGGCAGAGACAGTCACTAGGGACAATATAACAAGCCGG